ACTATAGATAGAAAATCACATAAACTTTAATGTAGTACAGATTAACTACATTATAATTTTCTAACTATTTTCTATCTTCAGTGTCTGAATGTAAATCTTAAACTTGATTTTATTTTTCCTTACAGGAAAGCTAAATGTGGTTCTAGGCAAATCATTACAGTCATAAATCATTTTAATAACTTTAGCTGAAGTTCTAAATATTATTTAAAGTTTTTACTCACTTTGTTTCTCTAACGTTGATATTTATCTGCTACAGTCTGGATCATGTTTACACTGAAATGATCAAATATACTGTACTGACATCATCCAGCAACTTTTAGAACAGTAAATAGCTTCTCGTCTTATGAGGACCTGGTAACAGGGTTAGTTCATTGTATCATCAAGTCAAAACCATTCAGAAACTGGACAGAGTTATTGGTCAAAAATCCAGAATCAGTGCATCTTTGTTGTTTTTCCATTATTCAAAGGTACGTGTGTTTAGCTGAAAGCCCTCAGACTGAGAAGTCTCACAGAAGAACCCATAGGGTGGCTGTGGTGGAGAGGTTAGGGTAGTCATCCTGTAACTGGAGGGTTGCCGGTTCAATGCCCCAGTCCAGCCATCCCAGTTGTTGGGTGAGATACTTCACCTGCTGGTGGTGAACAAATAAAAGTCAGACATTGCTTTTCAAACATGCTTTAATATATTTGTAAAGGGATTATTATTAATTAATGAATGTAAAAATTAATCATAAGTCTTTATGAGTAATATTTAAGAAAAACGGAGCAGCACTGCGTTTGATTATGGCTAAACGCTAGCAAATACCTATTAAATTCAATCTCATGTACTGAAGGAATGAATTCTTTTCCGTTTTAGACACGCAAACACAATATAATAAAAACGTGCCGACAAGAGCATGAATTTCACAATTTATCCTGTATTCTTTGATTCAGAGATAAAGATTACATCACAGGTCGTTTGGCAGCACAAACACCATTATTATCATAATCTTTATGACTTTAATAATAAGAACTTGAACTCATCTCAGCTGACAAATACCTCTGATACCATCTGTTCCTGAATCACTTATTCTAAATTATTTATCTCTAAGCAAATTAAATAAAACTTTCCTAAGACACAACTAAAAGAATCATTAACTAAACTGACTATAAAGGGGACGCATTTGGAAGGAGAAATCAACCCAGCATAAACTTCGATCTGAATTTACTCATGAACTAGGAATGGTCACCTCGGCTCTCATTTCAGCATCACCACACAGATAGTAGGGAGAAAGGTGGGTATTTCCTATCCATTCGGGTGACACTCAAGTCAGAAGTCCTGGGGTACCTGCGCAATTTCAGAGCCTGGCGTTAGCACTTGTTGGCTGGTTGGCGAGGTCCCATGGGTACCACTGTCTGAGAGCAGGAGTCAGCTTCGCTCCCAGGAGCTCTGCTTGTTCCAGAGCAGCGACGAAAAATCAGCTTCAAAGTTTCTGACTAGCTTAATTTTTCTTATAACTACGTCCACAAAAGATGCAAAAAATAAAATAACTAAAATTAAAAATAAAAGAAAATAATAAAATACTCCCAGTGGGAGAAAACACGGAGCGAAACCTCACTATCTATCCTCGTTCAGATGTATTTACTAGACTAAAAACTAAAATGGATGAACACACCTATTATTTTAGCGTATAAAACCTCCTATTGGCTGAGAGAAGATCACATGACCTGCCTTAGCAGACTGTTCAATCAGACAAGATTAAAACCAGAGCACATCAATAACCTTTTTGTGACCATGATTAACAAAGTGATTGAATCATAACAGAAAGTACATCAAATCAGAAAATACATAGGAAAATGTTTGTTCATGATGTAATTATGAGAACAGCCTCTAGGGTCGCTCTAAGACCATCCATGAGATTGTATGCTAAAAATGTCTTTGTGGGGGTCTCTGGCGGTTTTCCTCGGCAGGGGTCACCATCTCTTAGGGTCAGGATGTGGATTATAATCTCACTTCTGGAGACTTTAAGTCTGGCCACACGGTTGGTTCTTTGTTATAAACGGCCATTTTGAACACTTCAAAGGRTCTCACAACAGGGCTTAATCAATGAGAGGTTGCAGTTCCTGTTTGTTTTAGCATTTGTAGACAGTGGAGAAAAAGGCTGAGGATAATTGAGAAAGTCGTTGTCCTCCTCTGCAGAGATGGGAGGAGGGGAAGGTATTGGTTCAACGTTCCTGTGTAAAACTGTTACTTTACCTTTCTGCTACATATATTTTTTTTAAATAAACCTCATGAAACAGGTCTGGACAGAAATGATGGAACCTTAACTTAATATTAAGTTGAAGCTTTGAGCCAATCAGTCAATCAAATGATTCCTGTAACAATGAGACTTCTGCACCTCAGCAGGTATTTTGTTCCACTCCTCATGAACAAACTGCTCCAGTTGTCTTGGGCTTGATGTTTCAGCTCCTTCCAAACATGATCAACAGGATTCAGGTCAGGATCATAGAAGACCCCTTCAGAATTGTCCAATGTTTTCCTCTGAGCTATTCTTGGTGTTTTTGCTGTTTTGGCTCATTATCCTGTTGAAGACCCATGAGCTGCTGAGACCAAGCTTTCTGACACTGGGCAGCACATTTCTCTCTAGAATCCTTGATAGTCTTGAGATTTCATTGTACCCTGCACAGATTCAAGACCTCCTGAGCCAGATGCAGCAAAGCAGCCCAGACCTCCTCCATGTTTCACAGTAGGACATTGCTCTTTTCCTCATATGCTTCATTTCCCCCTCTGTCAGCATAGAGCTGATGTCTCTTGAAAAAAACTAAAGTTTTGTGTCATCTGTCCAGAGGACATTGTCCCTGAAGCTTTGTGGCTTGTCAACATGTAGTTTGGCTTTTTTTATGATTTGGTGTCCTCCTTGGTCGTCTCCTATTAAATCCACTTTATCTCAAACAAGGACAGATGGTGTGATCTAACATTGATGTTCCTTGATTTTGAAGTTCATCTTTAATGTCTTTAGAAGTTTTTCTGGACAGTTTTGTTCATATTAGCCGACTGATTTGTCATCGGTTTTCCTCCTGTGGTCATGTCCAGGGAGGTTGGCTATAATCCCATGGATCTTAAATTTCTGAACAATCTGTGCAGCTGTAGTCACAGGAACATCAGTGTTTAATCTGAACAGGATTAAAGTCCACAAGGCTGCTGGTCCTTATGTCTCCCTGGATGTGTACTCAGAGCATGTTCTGAGGAGTTGGCAGGAGTGCTGATGGACATTTTCAACATGTCCTTGGCCCGTGCTGTGGTACCAACCTGCTTTAAAACCACCTCCATTGTCCCAATACCCAAAAACTCCAACCAATCAAGAGACTACCGCCCAGTAGCCCTCACTTCCATCATCACAAAGTGCTTCAAGCAGCTGGTCCTAGCACATTTCAAATCCTGTCTCCCACCCATCGTGGACCCCCACCAATTAGCGTACTGCCAGAACAGGAGCACAGAGGACACAGTCTCCATAGCGCTACACTCTGTCCTCTCACACTTGGACAACAAAAACACCTCTGCCAGGATGCTGTTCATAGACTTCAGTTCAGCATTCAGCACAGTTCTCCCCTCAAAACTCATCACAAAACTCACAGACCTAGGCATCAGTTCCCTCATGTGCAACTGGTTACTGGACTTTCTGGCCAACCAACCCCAACATGTCAGGCTGGACAGCCAGTGCTCATCTACCATCACCATAAACACTGGTGTACCACAAGGCTGTGTGATGAGCCCCTTCCTCTACTCCATCCTCACCCATGACTGCAAACCTGTCGATGGTTCCAACATCATTAAGTTTGCAGATGACACCATGGTGATTGTCCTCATCAAGGACAATGATGAGACTGCCTACAGGGAGGAGGTGGATCGTCTGGCTGAGTGGTGCGACACCAACAACCTGCAGCTCAATGGTGAGAAGACCAAGGAGCTCATCGTGTACTTCAGGAGGAACGTTGACCCATATCCACCCATCCACATCAAGGGGACAGCGGTGGAGTGTGTGAACAGCTTCAAGTTCCTGGGCGTCCACATCTCCGAGGATCTCACCTGGACAACCGGCTGCTCCATACTGGTCAGGAAGACTCACCAGCACCTCTTCTTCCTGAGGTCTCTGAGGAAGAACCACCTGTCCTCAGACATCCTGATAAACTTTTACCGCTGCACCTTTGAGAGCATCCTGACCAACCGCTCCACAGTCTGGTACAGGAACTGCTCGGTATCAGACCAGAAGGCTCTACAGAGGGTGGTGAAAGCTGCCCAGCGCATCATCAGAGCACCACTTCCTGCCATAGAGGACATCTACAGGAAGAGGTGTCTGAAAAGGGCTTTGAAAATCATCACAGACTCCAGTCACCCAGCTCACAGACTATTCACCCTCCTGCCCTCTAGGGGGCGCTACACGAGCCTCTGGACTAAGACCACCAGGTACCGGAAAAGCTTCTTTCCCACAGCTGTTACACTCCTGAACTCTGTCTCCTGACATCAGAACAACATACACAACAATAACACATGGACCTACACACCACAGACCTGCACTTTCTGCTGTTACATCACTACTGTATGTACTGTACAGATAATCTACTCATGTTTACAAGTACACAGTCTATTTATACCATTCACATTACTTTCCCGGGTACCATCATTTCTGTCCAGGCATCCCTTGATGCATGGTTGAAAAGCAATGTCTGACTTTCATTTGTTCATTTTCATAGATTTATTTATTTATTTATTATTACTGTTGTCAGATTCTAGTTATTTCTACAACCATTGTCTGTTTTTCTTTCACTAAACAAGGGATACCAACATTTTTGTCCACATGTGTATGTGTGCTGTAGCTTCAGACTTCTTGATGCGTGCTGAAGACTGAAAGTGATTCATGATGGTAGCTGGCCTGGTCCTTGAATCTGTAAAATATTCAACTTTTGAAAATGAAGTTCTGGTTGTTGAAACCAAAGTGATTGTTGAGCAGATTTTTGTTTTTCAGGCGGCTGCAGCACCATGTCCTCGGCTGAAAGTGAGGACATATCAAGCTACCATTTGAGCGGTAAGCAGTCGTTTCTGTGTGTTCCAGAATATCAACCTGATGTATGTTTGAAAGCTGTGGTGTGTCCTCACTGACACTTGTATGAGACCATAAAAAACAAGAGTCTTCACTGCTGAAAACGATCAGTTATAAAACACTTTGTCTTGATCTATAAAATGACTTATTTCTGATCTTAAAAAGTGAAGTCCTCCAACTTTCTAACACTCCAACCAGGCTTAGGATAAAGAGACTCTTTACTGAAGGAATGTTTATTTTCAGTAGATCATAATTGTATCCTCACAGCCTGTACAAAAGGCATATTGCAGAAAACTGGTCGTAAATGTTTGCTGTGATGTTTTGTCAGCATCAGTCTGAGAAACCAAATGGAGCAGAGATTAGAACCCCTGGTCAGTGGGGAAAACGCTGGACAACTGCACTGAGAGAATTTACAGTTAAATTTAGGTTGAATTTTTATTCAGTTTTCAGTTGTGAGTCTGTGTGAGCACTGCTTTAATGATTGCTTGTTTTGTGTGTGTCTGCTGCAGTGGTGCGTAACCCACCGGGCTGGGAGGTGGGGATCTACCTGGTGGGCTTCTTTGTGCTCCTGGGTGCAGCTGGTCTGAACATCTGGAAGCTGTGGAGATCTGGGACCTTCCCCACGCCGTCCCCCTTCCCTAACTTTGACTACCGATACCTGCAGGAAAAATATGGCACCTCCTTCTCAGAAGTCAGACAGAAGGTTTGTTTACACACAGAAACATTGTGTTGTTGTTGGTCATCTGTACAACAGAAACCAGCAGCTCCTTTTCGTTCATAATTACACAACTTCTAAATATGAATTCACTGGGATGTTGTGTAAAATGTAAATAAAAGCAGAATACAATGATTTCATGAACTTTCCAATCCCATTAGAGCATATTAAATAAATTAAATCTGTAAACTAAGAAATTGTACATTTTTACATGACTTCTTGTTTGCATGATAGAGCTTTAACTTGGTGGTCTGGTAAACTGTTTATAACATGTTTATAATGCAATGCTGCCTGATGGCCCAGAGATCACAACCATCGAAAACTGACCTTCAGTCTTTAACGTCAACTCTTTTTAAACTGGACATGATGGGATGTTAAACGTCTTCACAGTTTTCTGTTTAGAAACATTTCTTCTAGAATTGTTTCATGTTTTTTTAAAAAGCGTATTTTAGCTGGTGAACTTCTGCCCATCCTAATGTCTGTTTGTTTTGGACCAGTCCTCTTTCTGACCTTCAGACTGCTCCTCTGGCTGCTTTTCTTATGTACCTGCTCCTGTCTTAACACATTAAACATGACCTTAAACTGTCCTTAAGATCAGAATTACTATATTCAGTTGAAAATCTGCAAAACTTTATTTTCATTCTACAAAATATCTGTTTAAAACTAACAATGTCTACGTGTTTCTTATATTAAAGTGATAAAAAGTAAAGTTAAATGTTTGCTTTTGTAATTAAAGGAATAATAATACCAATATTCTGTTCCATTTGGAAGTCCTCAGTAGGTAAAACCAGTGTTGTATAAAGTACCACAAAGTAATACTTAGTAAAAGTACAAGTATCTTACTAAAAAATGACTTTGTTAAAAGTTAAAGTGTCCTTTAGGAATATAACTTGAGTAAAAGTCTTAAAGTATGTGATATTTGTTGTAGTTAAGTAGTAAAAGTGTTAAAGTATGTGATATTTGTTGTAGTTAAGTATTAAAAGTCAAAGTGTAGATTTAAAATGAGCAGTTAGATTTTSTGTAAGGACATTTATTAGGAGGTGACCTCCCCAAAAACTGCAGAAATGACTGTTGTATTAAAAGAATGAATGGATGTTAAATTTAGGATGCACTAGTCCAGCTGTTTCAGTTTATWTACATATATCAAGGCTGCACAAAGCTTTTCCCCAAAATGAAAATCTATCTGAGGGCTGCGGCCAAATGTAAGAATATAATTCATGAAATACAAATACTTCTTAAGTACAGTCCTTTGATTTGAATGATTCTGTCCTGCTGGAGTGTGACATGATTTGTTTGTGTACAAACTAATACACTATCAGAGTTTTATATATTTATACTTCTCATTCAACCACAGTTAAATTCACTCTATCTAGGAGGCTCAGTTTATATGGATAGTTTTTATTTTTTACAACAACAAGCTGCAATGAAAACAAGCAGAAATGAAATAAAAGTAACAACTTTATACTTCTTGACTTTTTAAAAATTGTAAGAAGTAGAAAGTACAGATAATTGTGTGAAAATGTAAGAAATAGAAGTAAAAAGTACGCTGAAAAATAATTAAAATTCTACTTAAGTACAGTAAAGTATTTGTACTTAGTTACTTTACAGCTCTGTGTAAAATCAGTTTAAAAGTTTAATGTTATTAAGACAAACTGAAGCTCAGTGAGCTCACTGTGTTGCAGTGAGAACAAAAAACTGATAAAATTATACAACAAAAAGAAATATCCACATTAAAGGGTTTTAAGCAGCAACAATGTTTACAGTTTTTTACATAAAAACAAACTTGTGCACATGCTGCTGCATAACTCTTTTCCAAATGGACTTTCTTGTTCTAAGCGGTGTCTCTTAACATTTCCTGAACTGCAACAATTCTCTCTTGTCCTCTCCCTGAAGAGAGCAGCAGCCAACAACCATCGGAGAACCTCCACAACCTCCAGTCGTAAGCCCAGCTTGGCCCTGGGTGACACCCCTGATGGTTTCAGGGACCTGGGTCACCTGGAGCTGATGAGCAGGGAGCTGGACCCGACCGGCCTGGCTCAGCTCAACAGGTCCGTCTCCACCGACTCGCTCAGCTCCATCTCCTCCATCGCCAACAACTTTGGCCACGACTTCACGGTGGGCCAGCTGGAAGTGACTCTGGAGCTGGAGCAGTGTCGACAGCTGCTCCACATCACCCTGCATCAGGGCAAAGACCTGCTGGAGAAGGAGGAGGGTGACTTTCCTGGCTGCTTCATCAGAGTCTCATTAGGTCCTGAAGAACTCAACGTGGGAGTCACACGAGTAAGAAACTGATCTGATCTGTCTTTAATAAACAGGACAAAGTCATGTGATGTGGTTCGTCTGGACCACCTGCAGGACCTGAGCAGGACTAAGTCCAAACCAGACTTTGGTTTGAAGCTTTGCAGATTAGACAGATTGGACTTGGTACAGAGTGGTTTCAGGTTAGGGTTCTGATTGAAATGTCAACATCTAATCAGTGTTGAATCAACATACTGTTTGTGCATCCCTCCTCCTCCTCCTCCTCCTCCTCCTCCCTCTATGAGGAGAAGGGGGAGGAGGAAAAGAGGTTGAATCAGCATTGATACAGAATCAGATATGGTTGAAGACCTAATAGAATAGAATAGAATAGAATAGAATAGAATAGAATAGAATAGAATAGAATAGAATAGAATGTATTTATTGTAATTACACACGTGCACAACGAGATTAAAGCCACTCCCACAGCAGTGCAATTACACATTAAAAAATAGAAAATAATAAAATAAAATGAACTAAAATATTCCTAAACATCTGTATGTATCCAAACATGTATGTACTGTATATATATAATCCTCTAAA